CGCGAAAACAGGACAGGACGACAACTGCTGTTCCACCTGATTTATTGCTGTTTTGATGATGAATAAAAGACTTCTTGCTTGTTACACTGTGTCACCTCATTCAATTTGTGTCCTAATAACATTTGTCGTCTCGTAGTATATTTCTAAACTAGGCATCTTGTTTTAGGGCCCTTCTTGGTTTTTTTCGCCCTCTCGCATTAGATTTAGGGTCTCCAAAGGACGTCATCCATAAAATTTACTTGGTGTGGCCTTGGATGAAAATAAGCAGACATTATCTGACATATATACTTACTCTGTCTGAGCAGCCAGCCACTCTTAGCGATCACCTCAGACGACATGGTCTGGTTGGTTGGCAGCCCTGCTCGGACGTGATCTCTGTTCAACACAAATTTTTAATTTTAGTCAGTCTTCAAATTTTATGGATGTTTTTTTCTTTTCTGCTCTGAATTGTCATTTTTGTTTCTTCATTCACTGTAATTTTTTTTATTTATCTCTTACCAGCATTCGTTCCCCCGGGGGCATTACACTACACTATGTCCTGTAATGGGTGTTTTCCAGTATGTCATGTTACATATTTTGGATTTTGAAGCCATAGAATTTCTTAGTATATATTATCACCATCAAACCAATGTATTCACCCATCATTGATGTAAAGAAGTAAATGAGTTTGGCATGTCTGTCTTTGCAAACTGTTGCATGATCTGGCTATATTAAACAGCTTGCATTAAAATATAATTTTTTGTGAAGATACATAACCGACTACAGATAGAGTGTGACGTAATCATTTACACCCAAAACATTGTGAAAAACCCCATCGAAATTTCCATTTTAGTACACCTGAGTGATTAGCGATGTCTTAGAACATGGCACGACTCGTAAACTCAGTTGAGAACACTTGTCCTACCTGTGTTAGATAATATTTTTCCCAAAACACACAAGAACCTTACCAAGACACGTACCTTCGTCTTCTTCTTTTACTGTTCGAAGTAAAGCTAGCACGACATTTGACTTTTAGTATTATGGCCATCACGCCGAATAATTTTACGTCAAAATTATGCTTGCTGATCATAAAAAATAACCAAAATTTAAAAAAAAAAGTATAGTTACTGTTTTTATTCAAAACAGTCAAGGATTATGGATCTATATGTATTTGATACGTGGATTTATCAAGAAATTTACAGTCTGCAAATCATGTACTATTTTTAGCTAAATTCGCACATGCGCAGGGTGAAACCTGCGCAGAAGAGCGGCGGTGCCGTGCCGGCCCGCCAAAAGTATTTCATACTCGATTTATTTCGCTGTTTTCCCTCTTATAATCGATATCTTAGGAGAATATTTCACCAAGATGATCCGAAGCAAGAGAGAAGTCGACAAGCATGTTGCCAAAGTGGAGAGGAACGTGCAAAATCCGAGAGAGGTTCGTGAAATGCCATGTCGTCATAGGGGCCGGCTATGGGGAGGGGGGCATCGAAACTGAAAGAAATTTCTTTTTAAATGGTACCCTAACCGTATTTTCTCTGCAAATATTTGTACTCGACTGCTATGATTTAGGGAGAGTTTAGATTTTGTGTTGATCCCAAAATGTAATCAGCTTTATCTAACTGTCGTGTATCCGTGATCATCTGTCTAAACCCGTTTAGTCCGTCAATAAATTACCATTAAGTTAACGTTACATGATTTACTATGAATGATGTCACTAGAAGATAATTTTTAGACACAAGCAACTCGACATCAATTTGAATAGATTAATAGAAATGAAATTAAAAGAAACCTACAGTGGGCCTCACTGGAAGACAGAAGAAAAATGTCGAAATGTACAAAAAAAATATGACTAGTGGATGTTATATAATCATATAGAATTTTTCACCCCAACAGAAAGCTCTGAAAGGATACGGTATCGCCAGACTGTACTTTGAAGCCAAGGAGTACGACCAGGCCAGAAAGTAAGGAAGCTTTTGTCACCTTTGTTTTATTGAATTTCTGATATTTACCTAATGAACTAAGAACTAATGTCAAATCAAAGTTAATCTTTTCACAGCTCTAGCCTTAAAAAAATTACTACATTATACCATTGGAACTACTCATAAGAGCCAAAAATAGCTTCATCAGGTTGGTAAAGTATGTTCCAAAACAGTGAACGAGTTTAAAACACGGATAGACAAACATTGGGAGAGTATGAAGTACAACACTTTAGTAAAGTGTGAGACCGGGATTACTACAGGCAAGCCTTCTCATCCCAAAGATCGTATCAAGATACAAGAGTTATCTTTTACACAACGCTTGGTTGTTACATGAGGATGCAGCACCCCTATTCCCCGGTTCAGAAAAACCCCTGGTATGTCCAAATTACCTGTAGACAAGTTACCTAACTGTTACCTGCTTTTTTTTTCTACCAGTTACTAGTCATGTCGTAATGGCAGTCCTAATTTCTGTTATGATTAAATGTGTCCCTCCCGTGTGTTGTGACCAGGTACCTTGCAGGATACATCGGAGTCAGCAACAATGATGCCAAAGCCCACAGGTTCATGGGCCAACTGTGGGAAGTCTCACAGGAACACAGCAAGGCACTAGGATGTTACAAAAGGTAGGTTTTATAGAGTAGAGGCTTTGGCCAGGTAGGAACCATAAAATTTCAGTTTCGGCCACCCTTCATTTGACAAATGTTATTCCCATTCTGCATAGGATATCAATTATAGATGTAATCAACAAGACATTTTCCTCTTTGTTTTCCATAGGTCTTTGGAAATCAATCCAGCCCAGAAGGATCTTGTTCTCAAAGGTAGGAAAATAAATATTAGATATACATGTACACACTTTTACAAGAAGTCATAGATGATATCATACTAAAATGGTCAATATGTTTTCACAAGTATAACATCTATGTCCATAATATCACCAGGGTCCATAATATCGCCACCTTGAGAAATAGTGTGCTTAAAGATATTTTACTGCAACATACCCTAGGTATGTACATTTGATGTGTGAAGGAGTGCATACCAAAGGTATGTTGCAGTAAAATTATCTTTAAGCACACTGTTTCTCAAGGTGGCGATATTATGGACCCTGGTGATATTATGGACCACAAAGACACACATGTATCATCAATGAGATACCTTTTTAGACCTAACATAATATATGTCCTGTGATTTATTTTTGTGTAATACAGACGAATTTGCAACTTTTGTTAAACCTTCTCACAGTGGCAGAGGTTTACTGCTCCGTGGAGGAAGATCCCCAGAGGATGCAGTACTGGGCAGACAAGGCAGGGGCGCTGTTCCCCGGTCACCCAACCGTCTTCAACCTGAAGGAGAGAATCATGACATCACAAGGTGGCAGTGTGGATGATATGGAGGATCTGATTGGTGAACAAATGGTGAACCTTGATTGGTTAACATTTACCCACTTACCATATTGATGTAGATGTAGATTTCTTCAGGCCAGGTAGGAATATTTTCCAGTTTGGGCCACTCTTCACTTCAGCCGACAGTCATCTCGGGACGCAGGGGATGATCCAGGTCTCTGTAGTTATATACTACTGGGTGTAGTCTCATATGTTTGTCAAATTTGGTTTTAAAACAGTTCACGCTGGGAGCTGTAATCACTTCTATTGTATTGCCTAAACAGACACCAAAGTTTTAGCCCTCCTATTTGTGACTCTGTTGAACGTCATGTGTGCTTATGGTCAGTGGGACCTTTCAGGCTTACTTTATAGTAAAAATTCTCAAGGTTAAGGTCTTTTCTAAACCCTCTTTCTCATTCACAGTCCGTATTATTACGCAGCATATTTATGATGTCAGTGGTTGAAAGACGTTTTTTCAATGTTCTGCAGTATTGCAGAATGTCACAATATTGTTCTGCAATTTGGAAATACTTTCTGGAAATATACACTTTCAAGCCCTGACTCAAACCCATACAAAATTCCATGTTAGCAAACATTTTACATGCAATTTGAAAAATACATGTATAACTAGTATATCATAAAGTCAGTAGTAAGCACAAAAAGCTCCTAAACAATATTATGCAGGAACCCCTATCCTGTTTTTTCCAGTCTGCAAAATTGCAGGTTGCTTAATTTTTCTTCTGCAACATTGAAAATTTCTCTGCAAAATGCAGACTGCATCTAACACTGGATGTGTTTATTACCCCAAGGCTGCCCATCCGAAAGACGCTCATCTGCACATCCGGCTGATTAAGCTGTACCAAGACAACGACAGACTGGAGGAGGCGTACGATCACTGCACGTCCGTGGAACGCACCAGGGTGTTCAAGGACAGTGCAGAGTGGTACGCCTGCATGGCTAACACACTACAGGTTTGTACATGATGTTATATACATTCAGAGACTGTGTACCAATGTACCGGTTCTGTACTGGAAAAATTGGTCAGGTACAGGTCCATAATACCTAATCCCTCAGTATAATCACTGTTCTTAAATAATTTCACACTAATTAGATGCTTATAATATTTGTGACCTAAAATGCATAACTAGCTGGTCCCCCATGGGTCCCAAAGTAAGGACAGCGTGTTTGTGTTACAGAATGAGTGTTAACTACCCTGAAAGATCTGTTCCATATTAGTTATTCATCAGTGATATGAAGATGTAGTTACAATGTATGATGCTTGATGTTGTTCCAGGCATATCTTGACCAGAGAACCCCACCATCTCCCGACTCAGATGACACTCACACATTGTACATCCAGCTTCTCTCAGCCCTGTCCAGTTTGGTCCGGCTCAGACTGGCTGAGACCAGTATCAGCCAGTGCTCCCATGTCCTCAGAAGGTACTAGTATGTAGAAGTCACCTCTCACATGAAACCATGCATTGAACTTGAACTGACATGACATTCAAAGGAAGCAAAAAAAATGAGCACGGCACAAAATCCCTAGTTTCCGTGTGAGAAATTGCCGCGCACTTTCCCGGATATTTTAGGTTTCCGGTAGAACCCGGGGGTTTCCGACCTGCACACGAAACGTGTCCAGTCCCGTACATGTCCTGTACACTCCCGGAAATGAACCACTTTTTGTGTGCAGGTCGTGTACTGGACGTTATATGCCCGGACACGATCCCTGTACATTCCCGTACACGGCAGGAAATGGCCGTGCACCGCTCCGTGCGTTGCTGGAATATGCATAATTTAGCGGCAATTATCACCTAATTATTCTCCACACGGCAGCGGAAATTCGCCGTGTACGGGTCGGACATGCCGGTACTACCACCCCCCCCCCCGGCCAAAACCCGCCCCGCTCTCGGGACCGGTTGCTCCCGTTCCCGGGACCCGTTGCTCCCATTCCCGGGGCCCTGCTGTTCCCGTTCCCGGGACCCCACTGCACACACTACGGGGACCCCCCCTTCCTGCTCCCGGGGCTTCGCTGCCCGGCTCCCGAGAAATCGCTTCCCCCGCTCCCGGGACACATTTCGATGTTTTAGGAACACATTTCATTCATAAAAAAAAGTAATACATGTTTATACTTCATTCATCGTTTTATTGGTATAAACAGGATCGCCATTTACAGACTGACAAAAATAACGCTCTATGTATAGTGTATACACGTTATGCACTATGCTAACACTATACAATAATGTAACCTGGTACTTTACAAAAATGTGTAGCCGAAACATAGAAACAATAGCTTTTTCCCGAACTAGCCTTCCAGGGACTAGACTTTTACTAGTAATTAACAGATTTCTCTAACTTTAAAAAGTAAACTAACATCACATCTCATCACAGTCACCTCCAAATAGAAGTCCATTTTAGCAAAAAATGTCAAAAAGTAACTAATACTGACATATCATCAGGTTAAAAGAGGAAAATATAGCCCTCAGATCATGAAAGTGAATGGCGCTTACACAAACAGTCAAAAGACTAAATTTTCAGTAAACAAAGAAGGCCTCAAACAAAGTTCTTCAAAATACATGTACGTGTAGCAAAAACATAATGGCAGACCTAACATGAAGTTAAATGAGGCTTGGCAGAAAACAATATCACGTCATTACAAAAAAGATCATTTGCTCAGAAATTAATTACATGAACACGTATTCAATTTACAATGTCGTTAAAGACAAGCTGTCGGTTTCGTAAAGTTTGCGTTGTCGCCTCTACAAAATGAGGCTTAGTTGTACATTAGGGCTGCGTACCTAAACGTAACATCAGGTACAGGTACAGGTACTGGTACAGAGGTTTAGGTACAGGTCCGGACCTGTACCTGTACCTGAACAATTTGACAAATTAACACGTGTTCTTCACTTTTTCAATCATGACACAGAAACAATAATAAAGTGTTGGAGGGAAGGGAAAATGACTGATCTCTGACCTGATTTGAGTTTGTTGACCAATCACAACCCTGGATCAGCCACACTCTCGCGATGTCTCGTGAGACTGAGGATCTCAAATCAATCGACGGTGTTTACGTCTTTTCCAGTGCTAATTTTTCGTCTTTGTGGTAGGATTTACCTATCTTTAGTCATATACATGGTGTAAACTAGCTATTTCGGTATATACTCGTTACTTCATGATCCGGTATTTTGGACCTGTACCGAAACGATTTTACGGTATTGGACCGGTACAGTGTACCGGTCCGCAGCCCTATTGT